AGTTCCACATTTTTAGTTTTTAAACTAATAAAGCCAACAACTCCTTTCTGGAAATAGGTAAGATACTAATCTTAAATTCAAAAAATCCTTGTTACCTAATGATAGTAACAAAAACTTAAAAACAAAACAAAAACAAGTACCTAGACAATGTCCTTAACAAAGTTTATCTGAGAACTGTTTTTTTTGAAACAGCATAATGACTGTAATTGACAGACCAAAGTATGATCTAAATGATATACTTCAAACTATATGTGATTTATGATAGTGGAGAGATGTAATAAATTGTTGAACTTTGAATTACTGACCATCTTGTTAACCATTTTATGAATAAGAAAGATTATCATCATTCAGGTGTCCTTTTACTAACAATATATGCAGGATTGTGTAAATACCTGAGAATTAAATTAAAAAAATACTTATTAGGTTGCTAGCACAGTATGTTCTAGACATTGTACTCAGGTGTCACAAAGACAGTCCCTAGTCAAAAGAACCTTACAAAACTGAAAAAAAGTTTATTTTAAATTGAATACAATAATCAAATTAAAGACTACTTCCAGAACCTAAACTACTCCATGAATTAGGTAATTTGGGTGTTAAATTAAATTTCAGACAGTTTGTAATGTAGTTTTAAGTCACATTCAGGATACACTTGTAATTAGTTGGAGATAATTCTTTGAATAGGATCACTATTACAAACTTTGATAAGCAGTGGTTATATTCTTAAGTGACAATCATCATTGAGATTGCCTTTATTCTCCTTTGCATATAAGTCAACTCTAGGGACCCTTAGGGAAACAATTACTTTTTCAGGCATCTAGAATATTATTAGGAACATTATCATCACAATTTATTAATATAAATCAAAAGGCATTCCTCTGTTAACAGTAACCACATAAGCACCCTCAAACTCTCATTACCAGACAGTGAAACACAGGAGTAAATGTCTATGTTAAGAACCTTGAGAACACTGTTGTTTCTTTACCACAGTGTACTAAAGGAACTGTCAATTTTCACTCTTTCAACATTTCCTGAGCGTAACTGAGTCCCAGTCTCTGTACAACGCTATGGGGATAAATAGATTTGGTCTCTAACCTCAAGGAATTCACAATTTAGTGGCAAAAAAGAACATAAACAGCCTAGATGACATCATTAATACCTAACTTTCAACATTCCAACTAGTATTCATCCATTTTCAAATAGCCTTGAGATGTTTCCACAAGCAAAATACACGGTGGAAAAAACAGTACGCCAAGGAAGAACCCTTGGTTTCACGATTCTAACACACAGTAGCTGTGGGACCTTAGACTTGTCACTTCACCAGGCTTAGCCTCAGTTACCTCGTCTAAATATGTCAGTATTACCTTACCAGCCTAAACCCGAATCATTTTACCAGCATAAACCAAAGCGTCCCTCGTTAGTGGCTCTCCCAGGTCAAAGATCCACAATACTCAAAATACTCATCCAACACATTCCCCACGTAATCAAGGCCCAGGGAATCACTGTAAGCTAGGTGAATTACAGTTCCTAAACTGTGATAAGCTTTAAAAGTTGGTAACTCACAAAATATATTACAGAGGTCAGGATACAGTCTTATAAAATGAACAAGAATAACTGAACATTTTATCTGTGTACCATTCTAGTACAACAGCTGGGTGTATTTGCTACCCTGAATCCGAGTTTCTGCACTACTACAACCATGCCTGCCAGAGAAATCAAGGAGACACCAGAAAAACCTCCTCAAGGAGCAGGGAAAGATCCCAGATAAGCTAAGACAAGATCCCCCACTCCCCCCCGCAAAAAAAAAGGCCCTGTTTTTCCTTCTCCTCCAGCTATGCAGCTGCACCCAGCAGAGAAGTACTAGATTAGCATCATCTGCATTTCATTCCTTTTCTTTTGCAATAGCTACTCGCCTATAATAAACAGACCTTGTGCTCAGGGGAGAATTTACTTCCCCGTCCAGTAGAAATGAAGTTCCTTATTTTTACTTACAACGCCGTCTCCAATCAACACCCACCCTCCCAGGGGTGGGTGAGACCAGGCACGCCTCTCCCCGCCACTCCGGCTTCAAGTCTGACGCCCTACACCCTAGAAATCACCCCACTTTCCGAGCCCCTTCTACACGGGGGGCGAGGCTCGGGGAAAAGCGGAAGAGGCCAGGGGTGGGCGTGCAGAGCCAGGGGGCGTCCAGGCCAGCTCGGGAGCGCCAGGCTGCTTCAGCCGGCCAGGGGGCTCGCGGAGGCGGAAGGGGAGCTGCGAGCCCCGTGCCACCAGCACTTACCCACTTTGTCCTTCCCGTACATGTGCCCGGCCACCTGATGCGAGAGGGGCACGCAGCCGTTGAGGAAACGGAGCCTGCTGCCCGCCGGCTGCGGGGTGCCCTCGGGGGTGGCCTCGCTCGCCGGTGGGGTCCGCATTTCTGGGGGGCCGGGCGCCTCGAGCCGGAGGGGGGATGGCGGCTCTGTTGCCATAACGGAGAGCAGAAGCGGTAAGCGGTGGCAAGAGGAGGCAAAAATACGGCAAAGGAGGGGGCGCCGGAGAACCCGGGGGTCGCTCAGGCTCGGGCGCGAGGAGGCCCGGGGGTTCCCGCGACTGGTGCCCGCTGAGGCCCGGGGAGGGGGCCCATGACGCCGCGGAGGCGCGGGCGTTCCCCTGCCCAACTCTCGGCGGAGCGCGGCTCCCGGGGACCGCTCCTTTGCTGCCGCGGCCGCTGGCCCCGGCGCTGCCCAGGAGACGGAACCGAGCAGTGCAGCGGCGGCAGCAGCACCCCGCGCTCCCTGGGGCCCTGACGGCGACGGCGGCCCCGCCTCCCGCACCCCCGCCCCCTCCCGCCGTCCTCCAGTCCCCTCAGCTGCCGCGCGCGCGTCAGCGCCGCCTGCACAGCCGCCGCCGCCGCGAGCTTCCTACTGCGCGACCCGCGGCCGCCACCTCTACTGAGCATGCCCAGAGGCCGCCCGACGGGACCCCCGCGGCGGGGCCCGCGGACCACGATGTGGACGCGGCGAACGCACTCGCTGGCCTCCTCACCCCCACCCCGGCTGTGCCGTGCCTTTATTCATTCAACGCGCGTTTCAGCGCGCGCCGGGGCGGGATTAGACTCCAGGGGCTCCCGAGTGTGAGCAGCAGTCAGGTATTAGGAGACTCGGCAGGCAGGAGCGGTGCACCCTTGACTGCAATCAACTCCCACCCCGCACGGAAACAGTAGAAATAAAAACAGGCAGCTGGTTAGAAGACGAACCTTCAAAACACTCTTCAAGCTAATCCTAGCGCCCCTCCCAAACTGCTGCCTGTAAGCCGCTCGTATAAAAAAAGGTTTGGAACCCACACTATTTTCAGGCTGAGAAAGATAGAGAATAATCCTAAATCTCTTTTTTAAAGAGAATAATTTTTTTGAAGCCATGAGCAGGTTTTCTTCTCTCCCCACTCGACCTTTAGATAGCGCAGGTTCCAAGGTCCTGAGTAGACGACTAACAAGGTAAAAGGCAGAAGAAAGGGATGGATGCACACCGGAAGCTACGGGAGGTTCTGGAGTAGGACTCGATCATTGATTCCTGCCTGTCTGCCACTGGCATTATATATGAAAATTGGACCTGGCCTTGCAGGTAAAATCAAACAAGAACTGAGCGAGAAAATCTGGCGTAAAATACTTGATATCTGATTAAGGTAAGTGTCTTACTAGCACCTGCCCTCTGCCCCAGAAACGCACACACCTGGGAGAAACGTGAAAATCTGGCCTGGACTCCCCATTCCCAGGGCCCCGCCCCTCAGGGTTGCGCAAACTCAGTTGCTTCCTCTCCAAATCTTCCTCCCCCACCCCCTGCTGCTGTCAAAATCCGGACTCGACTTCCTTAAGGCCCAGGGCACAGCTCCACGCATGCTCAGCATTAGCTGGGGTCGATCTCACACACACGTGCTCACGGCCCGCCACGGCGCCTGCGCGGTAGGAGCCTTGTGTCGGTGCCCTTAGGACGCCTCGCACGCTTGGTTCCCGCTGTCCGCGCGAGCCGGTTTGTGCCCAGTGTCCTGTGCACACGCCTTGCAAGCGACGGCGCCATGAGTCTGACTTCCAGTTCCAACGTACGAGGTGAAGTGGGGCCTGAGGGCGAGTGAGCCTAGCGGCCTGCGCACCGGTTGCAGCGCCCGCAGCTCCTCTGGGTTGTTGACACTGCGCTACGCGCCCTCCGGTCCTATAACCTTGGGATGCAGAAGGGCAAGCGCTCGGCCCAGCTGCGGGCTCTGGGCGGGACAGGGAAAGGGAGCGAGGTCAGGGTACGGATTGATGGTGTCAGCAGTCATTAATGGCGTGGGGCCGTGCAGGCATATGCCCATCCCTGGTCCACGTTTTCCCCTAACTAGCCAAATCCTAAAACGTAATGACCCCGCTGCTCGCTTTTCTTGTTCTCCCCTAAGATGCTTCTATATTCTTAATTCACGAGGGCGGGGAGGAAGAGTCCCAGGGGGAGGAAAAGATGGAAGAGTGGGAAACGGATTCTCCCTTCTCACGTTTAAGTCGGCGTGGAGCCAGAACGTCGATTTCCTGAAATCCTGACGCGATGCATGACTAATCACATCTTAGTTTTGCAAATTTTTTTTTTAAAGGGAAGAAACTCAATCCGAGGTGCTCAGTTTTCCCAGTTTTTATTATGCCCCTTGGCATCTGGCGCGCGGTGGCGGTAGTCCAGGGTAGAGGATTGAGAACCTAGTTTCTTGAGCCTTCGGCTTTGTCAGCCATGCTTCCGTTGTGCTAGTACCTGGTATTCGTAAACAATACTTCGCAGAAAGTCCAATAAAAATTAACAGAATTTATAGAAGTCGTTTGGCGTGGAGTTTTCCTTTATAGCAATTCTTGATGATGTTATAATCGTTAATATAACACCGTGTAACCAGCAACAGGATATACGTGATCTCTCTAGCCAGGTATAAAACGCCACTCCCCAAGGTTTGGTTACCTGTAACTGTAGTAAAGGTGTTGTCCAGAAGTTAAAATAGCCCCGTTGATTCATTCAGTAAATATTGAGCAACTATAGTTCCAGGTTCTATAAAATCCTGTAAAAAGTCCCTACTAACTTGAACCCTAATTTTCTAATAGGTGTATTCCATAAATTGGAAAGTTCGATTTCTCTTAATAAAATTTACCTGGCAGAATGAGGGTGATAATCCATGACATTTCTGAATTACTAGTGATAAAACGGTGATTGTTGGCATAAATTATTAATAGAGAGTGATTTTTGTGTTTTTGTTTAAAAAAAATTTTTGTTGGGATTAAGACAGTTGTATGAAATGAGATGTTCATGTGACTTGTGCCGCTGACAATTTTTAATTTTACAGGAAAACTGCACATGCTTGAGGTAGGCCAAAAGATGCCAAAATGTGTTTGTCAAAAATTTGGGGGTTTTTTTGTGTACATGAGCACTGAATTCCATTTAGATAGCATACTATTGAAATGTGAAATCGGTGCACCCCTAGAACTTATCACAAGCTGCAGACGAATCTTTTTTGCAATCAGGGCAAGTTTTTTGTTTTTTAAGTCTAACCACAGGAGACTTCAAAGGCAACATTTCCCATTGGGAAATTTCCCAATTTTGTGAAATTTGCCAATTTTGCCATTGTCTAAGGGATAGGAAATTGCATAGTGAAGCAGATTATTAGCTTCAACTTGAAGTATTCAACTTTGTTATGAGGAGTGACTACTTTACATTTGACTGAAAAACATAAAGGTAGTTGTGAGGTGTAGGCAGAGGGCCAAAGCCGTTGTAAATCTCTTCTACCTACACTTTGCCCCTCAAACATAGTGGTAGGTGAGGTGGGGATCGTCTTGGGAATGTCTTAGAGAATGTCTTAGGAACCTACCTATAAATGTTTAGATCTCATAAAAATTTGGTTCTACTCTAGATTTTTAAACCGAACCCTATTTGTTCTTACAGATTGAAAATCAATTTAGATCTTTTAATTTGGGGGAAGATGATCATGTCTCTTCTTGGTTAAATGAATTCATAATTATAAAGGGCTTAGAGTGATATGTCACAATGGTAAACACTAAATGAAAAATAAAATAATGTGTATATGCATGCAGAATTCTTATTTATATTCAGAAGAAAAGTAATGGGTGGATTATAAATAAAACTTAATGGGGATCAGGCCAGGACTGGAATCAGGGAGAGGCATTGAGTATGAATGATTGGAATTGAAATCATATCAAAGATCAGGGTCAGTGAGATGGCTCTTGATACCAGTGTGGTCCATGTGACCATTAGTTTATTATAGTTTCCAGCATCAAGTGTCCTTCACTGCCCACTTGCCCAGTCTCTTATGATTCCTCCTCCTGCCCAGTAGACCTTTCTGAACATACCCTGCTCCTTGCTGCCTCCAAAACTCGTTGACTCTACTCTCTTCCTTAACTCCTTCCCTTCTGTTTGAAAGGAAGAGATGAACTCTGAGGCCATTCTCTCCCCCTGTCCTCCACAAGCCCTTTTCTTCTGCTTCCTTTTTACCTCACTGATGCCTGTGGCTCCTAAATCTTTAGCCCCTCCTAAGGGTTTTCTTCTCTTCAACCTAAAGTCACTCATAACCGTATCTTAAAAAAAAAAAAAAAAAAAACAAACCAACCCAAATATTTTTAAAGGCCTTCCTTAACCTACCTTCCCTCTGCTTCCTTTTTACCTCACTGATGCCTGTGGCTCCTAAATCTTTAGCCCCTCCTAAGGGTTTTCTTCTCTTCAACCTAAAGTCACTCATAACC